GGCAACATTCCGGCAGATGACGCAGGCGGGAAGACAGACACTCCATGCAGATGGTGGCCAAAAATTATGTAAGTAGGACATAATTTTCTACTTTAAAATTTAATTTTATATAACGTTGCCACGCGCGGACTCTGCGACATCATATGTCGTCATTCGTACCGGGGACATTCTTTTAACGACGACATACGTTGTCTTTAGTCGTTTAAAGGTTAAATACAGGTAGACCTATAGTATTATGAAGGTACAGTATTACAGTACTACTTTTAATAACATTTGTCTTAACCGGGTTTTCGATTAATCGTGATTTCCATTCCCACCATTATCCTGGATAATCGAGAGTTGACTGTACATCTACTATGTGAACCAGGGTAGGTCATACCTTGCGTAAGCAACATTATGGAAGACAAGCCCTGTGTAAGAATGTTTGAATTTCCCACCAGTTTATGAATACCAAAAGTATGTTCAAAACAGAATCAAGCAACTTTCTAAAGACACTGTAATGGTCTAAGACACTGACTGACCATGACAAACCCTTGTTCCCATAGTAGGTACAGCACATCTATATCAACATGATACAGATGTTCTAGCACTCCATGATTTATATACATGCACACACGTGTATTGATCTAATTTATATGCACAAGATGCATATAGGAGTGGCATGCAACACACAAATACAGCAAATACTTAATATGGTGACTGTTAGTTGTAAGATTAAAAGCAAAGTAAGCAGCAAGTGTAAAGCTTTGCTTATAGAAACAGTGAGACAAATTAATTTATGATCAAAGATGAAAATGTAAGACACACAAACACACCCAATTCCTCTACATGTATCAATACTGCTCTTCTACTCTGAAGATGGAGGCAGCAGTTTTCTCAGGAATTTTTCTGGTTCATATCTACAAAAGTGCACAGTGTAACATCCCAGAGAACAGACATCTTCACTTTCACCTCCATGAGAAAAGTGCACAGTGTAACATCCCAGAGAACAGACATCTTCACTTTCACCTCCATGAGAACCCCAAATATCACAAGACAGTATGGAGTTATAAATCATCCTAGCCACTCAAAACCATAGACTAAACAAATATCATCTGTACAGTACACAAAAAAGATTCTAAAGTATTCTAACAATGGTGTATGACACTCAGGATTACTAAGTTTTTGGACTTTGTCAATCGTCCTCTATTCTAAAGAACAAAAAAATAACGCAACATTTCAGAAACTGGATTGTCTCTGTCCTCAAGTGAGGGGGGGCCAGAGATACCCATTCTGTTAGGTCCCTCAGAAAGAGCTGAACTAAGCCAGGGTCTAGTGATTTCTTATGGACCCAACAGAGTGGGTGTCTCCTACACCCCTCCCCTGAGGACAGTAACAGGTCCTGTTTCTGAAACGTTCTGTTCTTCTATGGTCTTTAGAATACTGGACGATTGACAAAGCCCAAAAATCCAGTAATCCAGAACAATAAATTATATTTATTCCCACATCATTTATTTGAGACTGTAGCCTGTTACTGTTATAATTCTGATTCATGATACAAGTAGCATGAAGCCCATTGAAATAATAATGGGAAACTGTAAAAGCCAGAGTTCATGAAAAATACAGAACCTCAGTCACTTGTGAAACTCTGACCTCTACACCAAGATTACTACATTTTACAGAATAACAACATGCACCAAATGATACAGCTATCAAGGTTTGAGGAAAAATGTCATCGAAAATACCCTACCTGTCTTCCTCTTCAATTTATTTCAGTCATAATGTTATAAGTGTACCTCTCAGTGATTAACAGATCTGGCCCTCACATACAAAATAAACATTAACAGACAGTCCATAAATTTCACAGAGTTATTACTTTGACATTACTGACATGTACTCCATTTTCCCCCCATACGCACCTTCCCCTGTGTCAATACTGGCACATGTTAGTCTTATTTACGACAAATGGGTGGAACCTTTGAAACAAACAGTTTCCATCTCTGACTACACACGCCATAGGTATCCCCTCCTCTGAGCCACTCTTATGCAGTGTCCCAGGAGGAGAGGTCAATATTCTCGGAGGTCACAGAATCAGTCATTCATAGCAAAAAATGATATACATACATGCATCCTATTCTGAACAGTTTCCGAGACAGAGCTATTCAATGTACACTGTACAGACGGGCAACACGCCATGTCCTCACACAAGTTGTAAAGTGGACTGACATTGATGTTGACGGTGGAATTTTCGAAAATGTATTATACTAGGTAAACTGTACCAACTGTGTCACATGAACAATAAATACTGAAATTAGAAACACTACGTAATATCTCTTTCTTATCAACAGTTTTGGAACTGTACAGAGAAATAACTCTATCTTCTTGTGACTGTACAGGAACATTTTATAGCTCACTGTAGGCATAAGAAAGCTGTAAAGCTATTTAGGTTCTTGATGTCACTGTACAGCCTGATAGGGACCTGCAACAATTTGAAAAACTGCACTTTTTGCTGACCGGAACAGATCATAGATGGGGGAGCTGGGTTCCCAGTAAATTTATGTATTATTTTAGGGGGCTATAATATCATGAGGTTTGGTAACTCCTGACTTATGAAATTATTACTTCCTTTGTTTTGGAGTGAAGATTAAAGAAATTCCTGAATAATTGCTTCATATTAGATCTGCATCACAAATAAACTATAACACACTGATTGACTCTTAGGCATTATCCATCATCTTATTTTTTAAAACAGTGCTTCAGAGACTGATTCTGTCTGCATCCCAGGGTAAAAAGCAGCACAGAGATCGAGAATAGATCTATCAATGTGGCCCAATTGAGAAGGCAGCTGTAGAGTCCAGTCTCCAGAACGCTGTTTTAAACAAAAAGAGAACTGTGGATAACACAACAGAAGTTAATCATAATCTTATTATAACATTGTCACGAATCTTTAGATCCAATAAATTATAACTGAAAACTGAGAAACAACTTCTAAATATTATCTTTAATTTTAGTAGTGTAACTTTAATTTTTGTTGAAGAATGATATATACCAATAAAAATAATCTAAAAATTGTCATTCAACTCAGATTTCAACCTGAACTTCAGAATATTTCTTAGAGGACAAACTAAAATTGTCTCTGTGCTTAGTTAAGCATGATGCCACGTACAGATATGTGGAGTGGAGGTGTAGCTCCATTCACTCATAACCCCCCTCTCCCGCCCTCCCCAATCTCTGTCTGTCTGTTTAAAACTCTTATGATTTCCATATCCATGAGTTCTGTAACCAAGTTTGGATCAACAGAATGTGAATATATGATGATGATGACAATGATGATGTGGACAATTATCTTCATGCCCTAGTGACCTTCCTCCCTGGAACACAGCCCATGCCAGGAATCAATTTCCACCCCTAGGGTTGTCAAGGCTGTAGCCTAATCACTATGTTAAACCACACGGAATACAGTACAATAATATGTCTTCTTGTAAAACCAAGACAAGTTTACACAAAAGGAACAATAAACTTCTCTGTCAGGGAAGTCCATGCCTGCACACACTGTGATGGTCACATTACAATAAGATGTCAACTGCACATTCCATGCCTTTCCCTCACCTAAGACAGTCAAGTAGGCTGAGGCATGCACCTCGCCCGCCTCATTAGCACGAATACAAGTGTAGTGACCAGCATCACCTTCCTTCACCGCAGCAACTAGAAGATCACCTGGATCCAGCACCTGCACTCGCCCTGATGGTTCCACTGCTTTGTTGTCTGAAAAAAATCCATTGTCTGTCTCCTCAGAAAACCTATTCTCTGTCTAAAACATATCTGAGGGTACATCATGACTTGGGTGGGCAGCCTCATGGAAGAAAAGTCCTTTGTGTTCAACAGAACCTCTGGTATGGTTATTTCAGTTCCCATCGTATGCTGAAAATCCAGTCTAGTAACTTTGTAATGATGGCATAATGATCTACGTTACTATCTGTTGACAACACAACCTCAAAGACAATTTAGACACACAGTACACTGCTACACATACAGGTAAGCAAACTAGCTCTAGTAAGTGAACCAAGCATACAAAGTGCATGTTCTTTGAGAAATGACAAGGAAGATAGCTGCAACTATTTTTGTCTGCACCGATGCTGCATTTAAGTGTAATATGGCTTAACCCTTTCCATGCTATGGACATATGTATACATCCACTAATGTCACATTACATTGCATTACATTACATATACAGAGTGTCCCAGGAGGAATGGACCAAACTTCAGGAGGGCGTTCCTTATGTTAAAGTTTGCCAATATAACCCAAAACACCTATGTCCAAAGTTGAACAGTTACGGAGATAATGGCTCGAGAAAAGTGTGGTCTTCTTGCAGGTCCACGCACTATAGCTATCAGCTGAGACCCCTATCTGTTTGTCCTTGAGTGCTGTGAGTCACTAGCTGTAAGCTCATTCGCTACCTACCAGAGCCTACAGATTACGTTGCGGCGGGGTCGTGAATGGGTGGTAAATTAGTTGTGTGATGAGTTGCTGAAATGCTTCTTGTGTTTTCACATGTGGACTATTGTGATATGCATTTTGTGTGTGGATTTTGCGGTCGCAATGCACGTGCTGCTGTTGAAGAATACCAAAGGCGTTTTCCCGATCGAAGGATTCCATCTCGAAGTGTATTTACGCGAATTCACCAGACATTGCGTGATACTGGTTCTCTTGCAAGTGTTTCTGTGCACTCTGAAAGGCAGGATGTAC